ACCGGAAAATAATTTCAGTATGTTGGAGAGACAAGGAGATAGGATGGAAAGAAAAATAGTTGGTTCTGAAGTGAAGAGATGTAAAATAGGGATATGAAAATATTTAAATCATTTATGGAAACATATTAAGAAAATGCAGGCGGGGCACGGTGGCTCATGCCTGTAATCCCAGCACTTTGAGAGGTTAAGGTGGGTGGGTGGGTGGATCACCTGAGGTCAGGAGTTCAAGACCAGCCTGACCAATATGGCAAACCCCGTCTTTACAAAAAATATAAAAATTAGCCAGGCGTGGTGGCTCAGGCCTGTAATCCCAGCTACTTGGGAGGCTGAGGCGGGAGAATCGCTTGAACCCTGGAGGCAGAAGTTGCAGTGAGGCGAAATTGTGTCATTGCACTCTAGCCTGAGCAACAAGAGCAAAACTCCATCTTGAGAAAGAGAGAAAGAAAGAAAATGCGCAATAAAAGTACACTGAGACATGCTGTGTGATTCAATTTATATGATATATGACATTCTGGAAAAGGCAAACTCATTGGCACAGAGAACAGATTAGTGGCTGCCGGGGGTTAGGGCTAGGAAAAGGGGTTGATTATAAGGAGGACAAATAAGGGTATTTTTATGATGCTGGAGCTATTTTGTCCTTAATTGTGGTGGTAGTGACACAATTTTATGCATTTGTCAAAATGCATAGAACTGTACACCAAGAAGAGTGAATTTTACTATGTGTATGTTTTAAAAATAAAAATAAAAATTTTAAAGTTTAAAAGAGATATCTTACCTATCAGATTGGCAAAAATCCAAAAGTTTGACACTACATGCTATTAGCAAGGCTGTGGGGAGACAGGCACCCTTTATATTAATACATTGCTGGTAGGAAGGCAAAATGTTACAACATATATGGAGGGTAATTTGGCAATATCTAAACTACACATGTATTTATCCTTTAATCCAGAATCCCACATCTAGTAAACTACCTTGGAGAGATACTTTCAACAATATAAAAATATGTGTGCACAAAGTTATTCATTTAATCATTATTGAAATTGAAATACTCTTGAAACTACCTAAATGTCAAACATAGGAGATTGATTGAATATACTATAGCACATATACACCACAGATTTTGCAGCTGTAAAAAAGGAATGAGGGAGACTTATGTAAAATGATAATGGATTTTATGCTACATTTGTGTAAAATAGAAAGAGAAACAAGAAAACATACAGGTATTTGCCTATTTTTGCAAAAGGAAATACACAAAAGATAAACCAGAAAGTAATGAAATTGTTTACTTACAGGAATTGGTGGAAATGGAATGCAATAGTTGGGGAGGGAATGACTTAGGTACACCAGTCTGTTTAGTTTTGACTTTTGGAATAATGTTAATATTTTAAATAGTCAACATGTACAATCAAATCATTTAGTTTTACAAAATGAAAAAGTCCTAGAGATGGATAATGGCAATAGTTGCTCAACAATGTGAATATCACTAATGCCACTGAACTGTATGTATTTTATTTATTTGTTTTGTTTTGAGACAAAGTTTTGTTCTTGTTGCCCAGGCTGGAGTGCAATGGTGTAATCTCAGCTCAATGCAACCTCCGCCTCCCGGGTTCAAGAGATTGTCCTGCCTCAGCCTCCTGAGTAGCTGGGATTACAGGCATGTGCCACCACACCCAGCTAATTTTTTGTATTTTTAGTAGAAATGGGTTTTTTGCCATGTTGGTCAGGCCGGTCTCAAACTCCCGACCTCAGTGACCTGCCTGCCTTGGGCCTCCCTAAGTGCAGGGATTACAGGTGTGAGCACCTGGCCTATTTTATTTATTTTTGTTTTTGTTTTGAGATAGGTCTCGGGGCTGGAGTGCAGTGGTGCGATTTTGGCTCATTGCAACCTCTGCCTCCCGAGTTGAAGCAAGTCTTATGCTTTAGTCTCCAGAGTAGCTGGCATTACAGCATGTGCCACCATGCCTGGCTAATTTTTTTGTGTATTAGTAGAGACAGGGTTTTGCCATATTGACCAGTCTGGTCTTGAACTCCCAGCCTCCAGTGATGTGCCCACCTCGGCCTTCCAAAATGCTGGAATTACGGGCGTGGGCTATCACACCTGGCCCAGAAATGTATATACTTTACAAATGTAAATTTTACGTATATCTAACAAGAAGTTGTTTGGTGTTTTTTTTTTTTTTTTTTTTTTTTGAGACGGGATCTCATTCTGTTGCCCAGCTGTAGTGCATGGCACGTTCTTGGCTCACTGCAGTGTCAATCTCCAGGGCTTAAGCAACCCTCCACCTCAGCCTCCCAAGTAGCTGGGACTACAGGTGTGCACCACCATGCTTGGCTAATTAAAATTTTTTTTTTTTTGTAAAAATGAGGTATTGCCATATTGCACAGGCTGGCACAAGCTTTTTTCTTTTTTCTTTTTTAAATAAAATCTATGAAAATGGGAGAAAAACTCAAATTTAATACAAACAGAATAAAGGGAGCCCAACTTTTTTTCTTTTTTAAAGCCAGGGTTTCACCATGTTGGTCAGGCTGTTCTTGAACTCCCGACCTCAGGTGATCCACCTGCCTTGGCCTCCAAAGTACTGGATTACAGGCATGAGCCACCATGCCCGGCCGAGGGAACCCAACTTTCAAATAAAAAAACGCAATCACACTAAAGAAAAAAAAAGAACTAAATACCTTATCAACACACCACTTTGACTATATATTCTTAGTCTAAGAAAAAAGTAACTGAAAGCAAATCTTGAACTCTACTTTGTAGGTTTGTTTTTGATATGGGTATAGCAATTCTGAAAATATAGTTGTGTGTAATGTAATATGGAAAAACATTGATGTTGTTGAAGCCAGAATTCTCACTGTGGAAGGAAAGGAGATACAGATATGTAATGAGGGAAAGTAAAGAACATTGGGCATTGAACAGGAATTGGATGTATAGTATAAACTTATCATTCATAACATATATTCCTAACCGTATTTACTGAAATACTAGCAGCAATTACATTCCCCACTTGTGCTGGTGCACAAACTTAAGTTACTAATTGCCATTCCCATTAGAATGGATTAAGGTTCTTTAGAGACATAGATAGCTGATTCCAGTAGTGAGGCAGGGGAAGTACAACATCTTGAACATCTTGTGTCAGAAGATAAAGATGGTGAAAAAATGATGGAGACATTTCAAAAAAGACATAGGAGCCAGCTTGAAGAAAATCCTAGTGGGACTGTTGATCATTAAAATAAATAATGACAGTAATGAATTATAAGTAATCAAATTCATAAATCCATACTGATAACAAATAGAGGAGGAAATAAAATTCTTACAGAATACCTGCTATTAAACAGAGAAGGAGAAAATAACTGTTTTACAACCTTTTAGGCAAAAATCATTAATGGATATAAAAACTTAGTGGAGTAAAACTTTGATGAAGGTCAGGATATTCACATAGTTTCAATGTATTCTTCACAAGTAATAACAAAGGGCTAACTTTATAGTGTAGAAACCTGAGGGCACTACTTCAACCACTTGATTAAAATTGTCATTACCAATAATGAGACAAGCTAAGATCATATGCCTCCTGATAAAGATGCTCTAAAAGAGACATCTGTTATGCAGTATTTCTGTTAGTACATAAAACAATCCCTTCATGAGGAAACATCAAATGAAAACAAATTGAGGGCACTTTTACAAATAACTGGTCTGCACTCTTCAAAAATATTACAGAGCACAAGGAGGTCCATTACCAGTTTTGCCACTTATAATTGCTGATCTTCGACTTAGTCTGAGCTTTATCTTGATCACTTAAGAATTCTGCACTTCATTTCCTCCAAATGTAAAATTGAGAGAATAAAGTTTACCAGTAGTGAGAAAAAATACTGCCATGAAATACAAAGAAAAGCTGAGGAACAATTAAGTTTTAAAGGAGACTTCCAACCTGGGGAAACATAGTGAGACTCCATCTTTTAAAAAAAATTAGCTGGGTGTAGTGGTGCGCACCTGTGGTCCTAAATACTCAGCATGCTGAAGTGGGGGGATTGCTTGAGCCTGGGAGTCAAGGTTCAGTGAGCTATGATTGCACGACAGGACTCTAACCTGGGTGACAGAGGGAGATCCTGTCTTGAATAAATAAGACTACAGACACATGACAAGTAATTCAGTGCAGGGACCTGAACAAAATTCTGGATAGAGATCTTGGAATAATTGGTGAAATTGGAATATGAGCTGCATTATATCAATATTAAGTTTTCTGAATTTGATAACTGTAATGTGGTCGTCAGTTGATTTCCGCCTTTTTGAAAATGAATCCTGAAGTATTAACAGGTAAAGGCACATGATGTATACAAGTTATTCTCAAATGGTTCAGAAAACCCGCCCAAATATATATATGGAGAAAAAGAACACAAGTGGCAAAATATTACCAATTACTGTATGTAGATAATAGATACACAAGAGTTCTTCCACCCAATATTTATTATGAAAATATCCAAACATACAGACAAATTCAAAGAATCCTACTGTAAACACCGACAACACCTACCACCAAGATTCTACAATCAACAGCTTTGTAAATTTCTTTTATCACATATTTATCTACATATTATGGAAGATTTTACTATTCTTGCAACTTTTCTCTAAACTTGAAATTATTTGAAAATTAAAAGCTAAGTCGATTAGTATAGCAGTAATAGCAGATCAAAAAAAATAAGTAAAGGAATTTTTGGGGAACGGAAAGAAGAAAGAGCTAGTGTGGAGATACCAAACCAAAGCTTTTGGAACTTTAACACCGTTTTGAAGCTAGTGCCTTAGACAATTTGGCCAAAGATAAGTGTCTCGGCTGCACTCTATAGAGCTCTAAATCTGGCTTCAAGGAGTTCTTTCATGCTTCATTAACTACCACTTACGTCATTTTAAAGAGCCGGAAACTACATTTCCCAAAAGGCCTTTATTTTTTCCTCGCGGTAAAAGGGATTGCAATTACTATAGGTTTTACAAATCTCGCGAATGTCATCAAATCTCATTACGGATCCCGGCTGAAAGCCATTTTGTTTTTCAGCGCTCTTCAAGGGTATCTGAAGCGAATTTGCACCAAAGCAGCAGTTGTGTTGCTGCAGTTTGATCTTCACCTTCACGATGTTTCCCCTGGTCAAAAACGCACTGAGTCGTCTCCAAGGTGAGCAAAAATTACGCTAAATCGTTACAACAACCTTATATCAATTTGTCCTCGCGGCCTCTCGTGTCCTTTCCCTGTACCAACATCTCGGCCTTCTAATCTGAATGCTGTCTGTTTTTCCATCTCGTCCCAAGTCATTGGGACAATGTCCCTTACTGACTTTATCACCCAGTGTTTCTCTTTAGGTTTTCAGCTCTCTTCTGTTATCGGAGTGGTAGTCTAGCACTGCTTTTAATTCTCAGTAACCTTTGATTTCAGGGACGGACACTCTTGGTAGACACCTCTCGTTCCTTAAGTGATGTCCTACATTTTAGCTTTGGGGAATATGTTTACTCCTAATCTTTATAGAAGAATATCTTCTCGAATTCCTATTACTGTAATAGACGGCAAACGGTAAGTCCAGGTCTTCACCTGGTCTAATTGCAGGGAAACAACCCAAATGGTTCGATGCAGCTTTTAAGTTATTTGGGGGTTAACAATGTTAGCTGACCGGGCGCGATGGCTCACGCTACAATCCCAGCACTTTGGGAGGCCGAGGCGGGCGGATCACCGGAGGTCAGGAGTTCGAGACCAGCCTGGCCAACATGGTGAAACAACATCTCTACTAAAAATACAAAAATTAGTCGGGCGTGGTGGCAGGCGCCTGTAATCCCAGCTATTGGGAGGCTGAAGCAAGAGAATCGCTTGAACCGGGAGGCAGAGGTTTGCAGTGACCCGTCTTAAATAAATAAATATTAGCTGTCTCGAAAGCAATCGTGGTCATTTTTTCTTATCAAACGTTTGGCAAGTACAGGGAATTTTGAGACCAGCATTAGTAGTGAGAATGCAATAGATTGAGGAGAACAACTTAATTTTAATACTTGGTTTGCACTGAAGGTGACCTTGGGTAACGTGGGCAGTTGTTATACAATGAAGATGCCCCTGAATTACCATTTAGTTTGTTTAGCCCTCTTTTGATTTTCACTTAACATAATCATGGTGAGGATATTACTAGGTTGTGTTCTAACAGTTAAGCAACTTTGAAATAACCACAAATATTAGCTGGACTATTTTTATATTCCACACGCAGCATTTATTATTTCTTTTACTTTGTGCCTATGACTTATTTAGCCGCTCTCAATCTCAGTTTCCTTATTTGTAAAACAGGTAATTTGTAAATAATGCCTAAATTGTAAATAATGCCTGCTTCATGGGGTTGTTGAGGATTATATGAGATCATGAATGTGTGGTAATGGAACAGTTGTCACAGAGGAGAGGTCTAATGATATCCACCAGAGTTACATGAGTGTGTTGAAGTAATGAGATGTGCAGAATTTTTTGGTAGTCTTAATTTCTTTGCTCTTTGAGCAAATAGAGCCCTTTTGTATCTCAGGAAAGATTTTTTTGTTTTTTTCAGTGTGGAATTCACATGCCCACTTTTTATCCTTTCTGGAGCAGAATATATTATGAAATGTTTGTAAATTTGCTTATCCCAGTGTGACTAAAACATGAAAATGGAAAGCTATGTAAGGCAGTTAGAAAATCCAATAATGGTCAAATAACTATCTCGAAGTAACTCATTGTACCACATAGAAGTCATTATATTATTAATTGCTAGTGAATGGGCAACCTTGCAGTCAGTTCTGTCTTTTTTTTTTTTTTTTTTTTTGAGACAGAGTTTCGCTGTTGCCCAAGCCCTCCTTCTTAGTTCCTCCAAGGGGCCATTTAAAAATTTTGTCTCCTCTTTCTACTAGTATAATAATAAACAGCATAGTTTATCATTCTGCTCAAAAACTTTTTACCACCTCCCCGCCTACCAAAAAAGTGGTCTTCCATGGTCCTTTCTAGTTTTATCCCCTATTACTTACCTATACACCTTGTCCTTCAACCAAACTTAGTTTTCTAGTATGCTGAACTTTTCTGTCTGCCTTTTTTCAGATTTTCCTTATCTCACGTTTCTATAACCAAATCCTGTCTACCATTCAAAGTGCTTAGCTAAGCTTGTCTGAAGGTAGTGGTTTGTCTCAATTGATTGCTCACAGTGAGTTACAGATTGAACTTCCTTGTTCTACTCTAATTTTAGGGAAAAAAAACAACAGCAACAACAAAAAAAGTGCTTAGCTAATTCTGCTTCCTTGTAGGATATTGATTTGTGTCTACATGTGTAATATTCTCCTCTAGACTGGGAGTTACTTGAGGACAGGATTTATGTCTTACACTTTTTTATATACCCCATTTCTTTTAGCATGGTGCCATATTCATTAATTTTAAATTTGTCTCATTTTTTATTTTTAGAGAAAGAATTGCTCTCTTACCCAGGCTGGAGTGCAGTGGTGTGATCATAGCTCACTGTATCCTCTAATTCCTGGACTCAAGTGATTGTCCAGCCACAGCCTCTTGAGTAGCTGGGACCACAGGTGTGCATGTACTACCATGCCCGGCTAATTTTTAATTTTCAATCTTTTTCTAGAGACAGGGTCTCACTATGTTTCTCAGACTGGTCTGAAACCCCTGGCCTCAAGCGATCCTCCTATATTGGCTCCTAAAGTACTGGGATTACAGATGTGAGACACTGTGCCTGCCTATTAATTTTTTACAAGTCAAGATTAGTCTAGTTTTGGCAAGTATTTTTTTCTTTTTTTTTTTTTTAAAGATGGGGTTTCACCACGATGGCCAGGCTGGTCTTGAACTCCTGACTTCAGGTGATCCACCCACCTCGGCCTCCCAAAGTGTTAGGATTGCAGGCGTGAGCCACTGCGCCGGCCCGTCAAGTTTTTTTTGTTACTATAGTAATTTTATGATCATAAGCATTTAGTGTGCTTTAATTTGAAGTTCATTTGAGTTTCTTTGCTCTTGTATGTTGTAAGTTGTTGGGCTCCATTGAGTAAACTAATGAAAATTTAAGTCATAAGTATTCAAATTAATCAATGGGAGCTGAAGTTGCAGGGATTATGCAAATACCACCTCGTAGAGAATGTTACATCATTCATTCTTTGCTTTTTTCCCCCCGACACTATTATGAAAACTCTTAGACATACTGAAAAGTTGGAAGTATTGTATGAATACCCATGTACCCGCCACATAGATTCTACAGTTAACATTTACTATATTTGTTTTATCATATATCCATCTGTCAGTCTTATTTTGGTGCATTTCTGAGTACATTGGTTCGCCTTGATTAATAGCTAAAATATGTTTTAACATTTTATTGAACTACATAATACTGTAAAATTAACTTCCTTGGCTTTCCTGATTGGCAGTATCAATCACATATGTTCTCTTTTCCTGACAATTGATAATAACGCTTCTGTATTTTTTTCTCTGTAAGTTCGAAGCATTCAGCAAACAATGGCAAGACAGAGCCACCAGAAACGTACACCTGATTTTCATGACAAATACGGTAATGCTATATTAGCTGGTGGAGCTACTTTCTGTATTACTATGTGGACATATGTAAGTACTATTGATTGATAATTTCTATTTTAGATGTTTTCATTCTCATTTAGTCTTTGCATTCAAAGTATTTTAACGCAGTAGTGTACGTATTTATTTAGGAGGAACTTGAGAGATTATGTAATCTAATTACTTACCCAGTGAAGGGATTACTTTCCCCCAGCATTCATCTATCTTCTGTTCTTAACATCCCAGTAATATATTGCTTAGTGGATCACAAGGCAGCCTTTTCCATATTGTGTAGCTGGTGTTTTTTCTTTTTTTTTTTGAGATGGAATCTCACTCTGTTGCGCGATCTCGGCTCATTGGAGCCTCCGTCTCCCAGGTTCAAGTGATTCTTCTGCCTCAGCCTCCTGAATAGGTGGGACTACAGGCACATTTTTTTTGTTTGTTTTGTCTTGTTTTTTGAGATGGAGTCTCCCTCTGTCACCCAGGCTGGAGTGCAATAGCACAATCTCGGCTCACTGCAAACTCTGCTTCCCAGGTTTGAGCGTTTCTCCTGCCTCAGTCTCCCGAGTAGCTGGGATTACAGGCGCCTGCCACTACACCCAGCTAATTTTTGTATTTTTGGTAGAGACGGGGTTTAACCAGGTTAGTCAGGCTGGTCTCGAACTTCTGACCTCTGGTGATCTGCCTGCCTCGGTCTCCCAAAGTGCTGGGATTTCTGGTGTGAGCCACGGTACCTGGCTAATTTTTGTGTTTTTAGTAGAGACAGGGTTTCACCATATTGGCCAGGCTGGTCTCGAACTCCTGACCTAGTGATCTGCCTGCCTCGGCCTCCCAGAGTGCTGGGATTACAGGCATGAGCCACCACACTCAGCCTTGTGTAGCTGTTAAAAGGTTCATATGGTGAGTTAAAATCTGACTTTTTATTTTTTTGAGTTGGAGTCTTACTGTGTTGCCCAGGCTGGAGTACAGTAGCACGATCACAGTTCACTACAGCTCTGCCTCCTGGGATCAAGTAGTTCTCCTGCCTCAGCCTCCCTAGTAGCTGGGATTACAGGCACCCAACACTATACCTGGCTCATTTTCTTGTATTTTTAGTAGAAATGGGGTTTCACCATGTTGGCTATGCTGATCTCAAACTTCTGACCCCAGGTAATCCACCTGCCTTGGCCTCCCAAAGTGCTGGGATTACAGTCATGAGCCACTGCGCCTGGCCCTGACTTTTTTTCATATGCTACCCATCATTTCATTGTAACACAGAAATTCTGACCTACTTCCTTATAACAGCTATCAATCAGATAATGGAAAATTGCTATCATGTCTCCTGAATTTTCTTTTTCTAATTAAACATCCTTAGTTCTAGTGGTAATTTTTTGTTACATGGTTTGACAGTGAGATGTAATGTAATTTTTTATATTTTAGTTTCTTTACATCTTAAATTTTACAGTCTATTTTTTAGTCACTGTACTTAATGGCTAGAAGTGGGAGTCTTGAAGTCTTAATATATAACTTGGTTTAAAAACATACAAATTAAGCCTCACCTTAATAAAGAAACTTTATTTAAATAAATAGGCCTTTTAATTTTTTGTTTTGATCGTCTTGAAATCAAATATAATATTAAAATGTGCGATTAGGCTGGGTACAGTGGCTCATGCCCATAATCTTAGCACTTTGGGAGGCTGTGACGGGTGGATCACCTGAGGTCAGGAGTTTGGGACCAGCCTGGCCAAAATGGTGAAACCCCATCTCTACTAAAAATGCAACAATTAGCCGGCATGGTGGTGGGCACCTGTAATCCCAGCTACTCGGGAGGCTGGGGCAGGAGAATCACTTGAACTCGGCGGGTAGGGGAGGGGCGGAAGTTGCAGTGTGCCACCCCGGGGAGAAAGCAAGACTGTTTCAAAAAAAAGAAACTGCTTAATTAGAAGGATAAACAAATGTTGAACAAATGTGTGATCAGAAGAGTTTTGGAGGTGAAATGTTCTTTAATGATAAAGAGAGTACAAAGTGCTCTCTGGCAGTTATTTAGGTAGTTGTGGTTGAGGGAATCAGTGTTTCGAGGGGGTAGTATAGAAATGTGAAGCATAAATTTGAATTAAATAAAATTTAAAAATTCATTTCCTCAGTGATACTAGTCACATTCCAGGTGGCCAGTAACCACATGTAGCTAGTGACTACTGTTCTGGACAATGAAGATATAGAACATTTCCTTCAGCTCAAGAAGTTCTGTTGAACAACAACACTGCTCTAGAAAATCAGGATAGCAATTAGGTTTGGTCTATATGGAGGGTACTGTATCCCAGGTGAGGTTCTGTGTATTTTTAACCTATAGAGCAGAATTTCTGTCATTTTTAAGAAATAGTCTCAAGGGATAATGTACTCTGGTTTAAACACATAACTGACAGCATTTTAATTCTTACAGGTAATAACACAAATCGGAATAGAATGGAACCTGTCCCCTGTTGGCAGAGTCACCCCAAAGGAATGGAGAAATCAGCAATAATCCCAGCTGGTGTAATAATGAAGTGTTGAAAAAAACAGCTCATAATTGATGCCAAGTTAAAGCACTGTGTACCCATTAAGATATGGCATTATTGAAGAAATAAAGTACATTTGAAACCTTCATTTTAGGTTTTGTTTCTTTGTAAACGATACCAAGCTTGATCACTTTAACCTTTGTGTTAATATTAAAGTCAAATGCTGTGCCACTTCTTAAACAGGTTTTTTTGTTTTTGGTTTTTTTGAGACAGAGTCTCACTCTGTCCCCCAGACTGGAGTGCAGTGGCGCCATCTTGGCTCACTGCGACCTCTGCCTTCCGAGTTTAGGCGATTCTCCTGTCTCAGCCCCTCAAGTAGCTGGGACTACAGGTGCATGCCACCACACCCGGCTAATTTTTGTAGTTTTAGTAGAGACAGGGTTTCATCATATTGGTCAGGCTGGTCTTGAACTCCTGACTTCAGGTGATCCACCTGCCTCAGCCTCCCAAAGTGTTGGGATTACAGGCTAGAGCCACGGCACTCGGCCCTTAAATAGCTTTTATGAGATAATGTGAAAGGAAAATTTGCTTTTGACCTGGAAGTCAACTTCATAGTAAGCTGAAATTATGTTTGTAAATAACTGATCACGTAACTATTTTAGATCACCTTTAGCCGGGGCGCCGTGGCTCAAGCCTGTAATCCCAGCACTTTGGGAGGCTGAGACGGGTGGATCACGAGGTCAAGAGATCAAGACCATCCTGGTCAACATGGTGAAACCCCGTCTCTACTAAAAATACAAAATATTAGCTGGGCATGGTGGCGCATGCCTGTAATCTCAGCTACTCAGGAGGCTGAGGCAGGAGAATTGCCTGAACCCGGGAGGCGGAGGTTGCAGTGAGCCAAGATCGCGCCATTGCACTCCAGCCTGGGTAACGAGCAAAACTACGTCTCAAAAAAAAAGATCACCATTGAGCCAAAAATTTGGCCCGGATTTTGGTTGTGCCTATACTGTCTGCCTCTCATGTGTATTTATACTTGGAATTAGCATTATTAACTCCTTTTCACTTCTGCCTAGAGAACTTACAGTATCACCAGACCCAAGGGAAGAGTGGGTCTATAAAATGAACTCCTAGCCTGTCTGAAGACTAGCTACTAGTTCCTTTGCTGTTTGACATAATTATTTTGATTATAGCTCTTGTTTTTTTTTAATCATACTTATGGATGTTAATGATATTAAAGAATCTATCAAATGCAGTCTGTTCCCAGTTATCTACTATCAGTCACCTCTCCTATTGATACCACAGTGTTTGGATTTGTGGATTATCTTGAGTTTAGTATATAACATTGGATTTTATGTATGTTACCTGAATAAAAACAATACCTGCTCCACATATTTCATTACTTCTTGGCTGAGAGCTGTAATCTAGTAGATTTCTTAATAGTGATCAAGTAAGCAGAAAGTAGAATTTCAGTGAAGTAACCCATCTATATTAGCTAAATTATTTTTTGCTTATTACATGGAATGCTAGAAGTATGCTGCCGTGGCATATGTCCTAGTTTCTCCTCAAATGGACCGAAGTCTGATTTTATTTGAATAGGAAAAATCAAGTATCATTGTAAATTAAGTTGCACGTTTAGTAACTATACTTTATCACTGTTTGATTAATTTGAACCAACACTTTGTTATTTCATATTTAGAATGTTCAAAATGGTACTATTCAAATGCATATAACCCCAAGACATACTCAAGTAAAATAGACATGTATTTAAGGAAGTGTCAACCTTCCATTATATACCTTTTTGGCCGGGCGCGGTGGCTCACGCCTATAATCCCAGCACTTTGGGAGGCCGAGGTGGGTGGATCACGAGGTCAAGAGATCAAGACCATCCTGGTCAACATGGTGAAACCCTGTCTCTACTAAAAATACAACAATTAGCTGGGCATGGTGGCGCTCGCCTGTAGTCCCAGCTACTCGGGAGGCTGAGGCAGGAGAATTGCTTGAACCCAGGAGGCGGAGGTTGCGGTGAGCTGAGATCGAGCCATTGCACTCCAGCCTGGGTAACGAGCGAAACTGTCTCAAAAAAAAAAAAATTATATACCTTTTTGTCACTGAATTAACACTTTCTCACGATGTGGGGGCAGTTTCAGTATGATTTGTAGTACTCAGGTAAGTGATAGTTGTCATCTATATGACAATTTAGAATGTTTTCTGTGTCCATTTGCCACCAAAATTATATGTTGCTTTGTGTGATAAAATCTGGTGGTGGTAGTATCTTTGAACAAACTTCTTGAACTTAGTTTTGTAGTTAATCTTGTCCTGATGAGTAATTCTAAAACTACTATGATCACTACTAGAAATGAAGCAGTTTTTTTGTTCCATCACAATATATACTGACCTGGGAGCTTTCCTAGTGCTCTCAGAGCCTAGTGCTTTCCCCCAAATGTTCTCAACTTACTGGCAATGTCAATTTGAGTTTTAGTTATACCTAGAGTTGCAAGGTCGTCAAATTAGTCTTCCATCCTCAAGTATCTTGTATGTCTGAAGAATTTAGGTAAGTTATTTACCTTAAAAGCATTGCCAATTGTTTAAACTCTATTTGGATGGCTATGAAATTTTTTTTTAAAAATAGGGTGAATGTCATAAATCCCATTTTTCTGAGAGTTTTGCTCTGTCGCCAGGCTGGAGTGCAGTGGCACAATCTCGGCTCACTGCAACCTCCACTTCCTGTGTTCAAGCGATTCTTCCACTTCAGCCTCCCGAGTAGCTGGGACCACAGGCGTGTGCAACCACGCCCGGCTAATTTTCGTATTTTTAGTTGAGACGGGGTTTCACCATGTTGGCCAGGATGGTCTTGATCTCTTGACCTCGTGATCCACCTGCCTCGGCTTCCCAAAGTGCTGGGATTACAGGCATGAGCCATCGCGCCTGGCAATCCCATTCGTTTTTTTTTTTTTTTTTTTTTGAGACAAAGTATTGCTATGTCGCCCAGGCTGGAGTGCAGTGGTGCAATCTTGGCTCACTGCAACCTCCGCCTTCTGGGTTCAAGGGATTCTCCTGAGTCAGCCTCCTGAGTAGCTGGAATTACAGGCGTCCACCACCACACCCAGCTAATTTTTGTATTTTTAGTAGAGAGGGTTTCGCCAAGTTGGCCAGGCTGGTCTTGAACTCCTGATCTCAGGCGATCCACCTGCCTCGGCCTCCCAAAGTGCTGGAGTTACAGGCATGAGTCACAGTGCCTGACCTCATAAATCCTATTCTTTTATGTATTTATTTATTTTGAGGCAGAGTTTTGCTCTTGTTGTCCAGGCTGGAGTGCAATGGCGCGATCTCAGCTCACCACAACCTCTGCCTCTCAAGTAACTGGGATTACAGGCATGTGCCACCAGTCCTGGCTAATTTTGTATTTTTAGCAGAGACGGGGTTTTCTCCATGTTGGTCAGGCTGGTCTCGAACTCCGGACCTCAGGTGATCCTCCCACCTTGGCCTCCCAAAGTACTGGGATTACAGGCGTGAGCCACTGTGCTCGGACTTTATAAATCCCATTCTTAATTTCACTCTAGAACAGGATTATTTTAGCACCTGTGTTCTGTTACTTTAGATTCATTTAACTTACTTAGAAATAGATACTGTGGTAGTTGTAGAGGTACAGATGTTGAGTTCCCATCCTCCTGGCTTAACATCATTGGGGTTATTAATACACATCATAAGCATTTTAGGGACACCTGCTATCTGTTCAACCTCCAGCAAACCTGATTACTTCTTGAAGACATTCGTTCTATGCTTGTGCATTGGTAAGGAGGATTAGGGATGATGCATTTAAAGACAGAGTTTTAGGCTGGTCCTGGTGGCTCGCACCTGTAATCCCAGCACTTTGGGAGGCTGTGGCAGGAGGATCATTTGAGGCCGGGAGTTCGAGATCAGCCTGGGCGATGAAGGGGAGACTCCCATGTCCACACACAGAAAAATAAAAATTAGCCAGGTGTGGTGGTGTGTACCCGTGGTTCCAACTACTCGGGAGTCTGAGGTGCAAGGAACACTTTAGCCCCAGAGTTTAAGGTTACAAGGACCTGTGATCACACTTCTGCACTCCAGCCTGGGTGACAGTGAGACTCAAAATATATATATATATATGTGTGTGTTTATGTTAAATATTAAAGTGAGTAAGAATGTTCATGGTTGGCAGAGCATCTTGCAGCTCATAGTGATAAACTTTAATATTTACATAAAAATACTAGTGAGCTAGTAGATTGAATATCCTGCTTCTGATAAAGCTATTATTTTTGGTTCCTGCCTTTTAATGAATTTCTTTTGGAAGCTTAATACGACGTTAATAATAGTTACAAACCAACTTGCTAATATTTGGATACCCACTTAAAAGCCATCTTTATTTCATATGATCTGATTTTCAAGATTTTAAATTTGGGACTGAGTTTGTATCTTAATTAAGGCTGTGCACATTGGTAGAGTCCTGAGGCTAATTTTATATTTATGTGAATGGGTATAAAGGGGGAGAATAATTCTGAAATACTTAAACAGAGACCTAAAATGTAGATCTATGGGTAATTTTAAATGTTGCCTGTCATGGCTTAATAGGGACTTGACAACAGATAGGATGGAAATTATTTTAACACTTAAATATGCTTACTTTGTGCCAGACACTGTTCTAAGTCTTTTGCAAATATTTACTTGCAAAAGATATTTGTATTTTGTGTACTATTTTGATTTCTGCAACATTATTAGACTCTATACTTGTCCGTGGGAACTGAGTTCAAATGGTTCCAGATGAAAATACAACTGTCCTGTGATTAGTTTTGTTATACATCTTATGACAGATACTTCATGAAAGGAAATATGAAAAGGCCACATCTTGCTTTGAAATAAGTGAGATGAAACCTCTCCCTCTTTTACTGTTAATGTTCATAGTTTTAAAAATCCTAGACTTTTCCTGCTTTTTAAAATTTCAAGTTGGAAAACAAGAATAAAATAATATCCTTTTCTCAAATGTTTTCTGTACCACTTACTGCATTGTATTACATTTATGCATCTAATTTCTATATTAACTAATGGAAATAAAAGACTAACATTTTTGTGTCACTGGAATCTTCTAGGTGTTTAAAATGATGGACGAGTGAACAAATGGGGGAG